TGTGATTTTAGATAGCCCTGTTTTTTCAAACATTGAACACTTATTTTTAACTTTTTTTTTTTTTAATTACAACGGGCGTAAGTTTTTGAGAGTTCCAATTTCTTTCATTATCCCCAACTAATCCTCATATATTATTTCTGTGCTTAACTCATTCTTTCCAAATTTCTGTGTCTATAGCTTTGCTGTCTGGCAAGACCGATCCTTGCATGGAACATTCCTTCCACAGGTTACCCAAGATCATTGGAGCGGATCCTAATTGGATTTGGTGAGCTTTCTGTTTTTGCCCTATATTTCTATGGCATTCTTCTTCGAAACAAAATTGTTTGACGCCAGAATTGACGATTTGCTGCTATTTCTTACCAGGTTTACAGGTTGATCTTGCCTTTTTTTAATAGCCTATTTCAGTTGATCTTTATAGTGACGCACAGGTCAACCGCGTGTTCTTTGTCCGGGAGTTCATTGGCGCTGGACTATGTCACTTTTAGACGTAATACATGAACTTTATATTAACTAATTTATTTATAAAAAATAACCGGCTATTTTTTTTCTTCGTCTTATATAATTACACTTTGATATAGTGTACCTGGCGACCGTCAAACGTACTTAATATCTAAAACTAATTCGCAAAACAAACATACACTAATATAAACACGCGCACCCATACAAAAAGAGAAAAAGAAAAAAAAAAAAGAGAAAAGAAAATTTGATCTGAAAAGCCGTTAATAATAATAATAATAATGTTTCCATCAAGAAAAAAAATCCAATAGTCCGACGAGACAAGAGATCGAAACCGCTACTACGAAATCATCTCTGACGACAACCAGAACAAGGCCGAGTCTCTTCCGGGCGAGTGCCATTACAAACAATCCCTGGCAGTCTCCTGGAAGCTACAAATCGGTGAAAGAATCTCTGGGTCGCTTAACGGATACAGTGGCCACAAGCCTCTTGCCGGATATCAAAATTACCAACCCGGAGATGGCCACCAGAGAACAGGATTGTAAATCTACCTTCAATCAAAATCTTGTCAGGCAGAGAAAAGTGACTGGAAGCTCTGAACCCCCAAAAGGTATTGCACAACAGTTTAATGAGCTTGCCAAGACTCACGTAACCAAACCGGCGCCTGTTTTCACGAGAAAGGTGGCGCCCTCTAGCGCTTCTTTCGGACGTGGGAGCAAGAATATATGTGGAACAGGCTCCACCTACCGGAGAGTTGATAAAGCTTGTCAGTTAGATGTAGCGAAAGAAGACTGCGCTATTGCGATCTCACCAGCCAAAAGCGTAGAAATACGGCAGAGAAACATGGTTATGGCGAAGATCAAATTTTACGAAGGTTCGATTTCTGAGGATTCCGTGATGGGTGGCGTGGCAAGGAGAGAACAAAAACTTTCCAAGAATCACGGAAGAAAAAACCGCAACTCTCTCTACCCGTTAGCAGTGGTAGGCAGTTATCGGACGTTGGTCAGATTACAAGACCAATCGAAACATCTAATGATTTTGAGAATAAAAACGACGTCGGTAGGGGCCAGTTTCGTACACCCTCAAAAGAATACAATGTAGAACAAGACTCTGAGGCCAAGTTCACTGTTGTTCCCGGCTCAAAAATCCAAAGTCAAGAAAAGGATCTTATTGAATTTTCAGAAGCTAAAACGAAAAAACTAGACCCAGAAAAGAGGGAAGAGATATCGAAAACAGGACGTTGCAACTTCTTCCTCCGTCATTGGACAAGATAGAGCAGTCGACATTTTTAACCAGCAACCCACATTTAGAGTCTCCCAAATCAGAACTTCCCTCAAAGTTCGAAAAAGCAGCATTCGAACGAAGCACTAACTCCTGAAGTTACAGATTGCAGCAAGTTGTCGCGTTCGGTCTCAGAAACCGAAGACGCAAAGGTATGTATATTGTCCGCTACACGCAAACCGCGCCCAGAAACAATTTCTTATTGGTCAGCACAACGATAAGATCTCCGTAATTACGACCACCAAATATGACGACGTCGCCCAAGAGGAGTCCTCTTTTACCGACTGCTGGGGTGAAGTGGTCAAGGCAATGGTCACTCCGCCTACGCCTGAAGACAAACAGAAGAATGATAATATTTTCATGAAGGAAGAGCGTAGCCAATCGGATTCTGCTGTCGGTCAGAAAGTTGTCGGTCACGCGTCGTCTGAGCAGGATGAGAACCCAAAGGACTGGTTGCGCCTCAATACGTACGATGCGGAATCGAGGCGTGGATCAGACTGTACTGGACTTAAACGGCATAAGACTCTTATCTCTCCCCGGCGCGTGGTCTCGTTGAAGCAGGAACTACCAAAAGAAAAGGTAAGTGATATAAAGAAAGTGTTTCTTTTGGTTTTAAGATTACAAGCGCCACCAGATCATGGACTATTTGGGTCGGTTTATGGGTCGCATGAAGTATAGTACATCGTAAGGTGGATTACACTACTTAAATAAAAATGAAGGTAATTTTTTATTAAAGATATCACAGCGATTTTCCAAGCAGACGATCATGCGCATAAACATGCGCACAAGTCGATTTTTTTTCTTTGGAGTAAAAGTTCCTTGTATAATTAAACAACAAGAACAAGAAAAGCTGAAGCCTTTCTATATTATCAGTAATGACAGGGGGATTAACACACACTACTGCATTTGTTTCTAACTTATTCATTTGATTACACAAAAATTTCATGTTTCTTAGTCAAGAGATGTTTACACGTATGATCTTCCTTAGTGAAAATCGCCAATGGTTTAAAATGCTAACAACATTACTTTCAACGAAAAGTTACAAAATACAAGAAACATTGTACTTAATCATTGTTTCTGTATGTGGTTATGTATGAGAGAATGTGTGAGTGAACAAGTGAGAACGAAAGGAAACAAGCAACATTTTAATAAATGTTATTTTTCTCATGAAATTAGGCGTGCTATTCATAGCGCCAATGACTGGTTTAAGTCGTTCTATACTACAAGCATACTCGTGGAGCAACTAAGGGCCAGCATTGGAGGCCTATAGAAAAGCTTCTCATTCTACTGGGAGCGATGCATTTTAGTTTCGGTTTGCGATATTTCCTTCTGTAGTCGGCTTCATAAATTTAAAGAAATGGTTTATGCCGTTCTATACTACAGACCTAGACACGGGAGCAACTAAGGGTCAGAGCTGGAGGCCTATTTTAAAAGCTTCTCATTCTACTGGGAGCGATGCATTTTAGTTTCGGTTTGCGATATTTCGCTTCTGTAGTCGGCTTCATAAATTTAAAGAAATGGTTTATGCCGTTCTATACTACAGACCTAGACGCGGAGCAACTAAGGGTCAGAGCTGGAGGCCTATTTTAAAAGCTTCTCATTCTACTGGGAGTAACACATTTTAGTTTCGGTTTGGGTTTGTGGAAAGTTTGCTGCTGTATCCAGGCTTAAAGAAATTCAAAGACATTTTTTTGCTTTTACATTTGAAATAACTTTAGCTTATTTAATTGACTTGAGTATAAGATTTATTTATTTTATTTCCTTCGAACTTGCTATATTATTTTTTGTTTATTCCAAAAAAAACCTTTTGGAAAAATTCATTAAAAATGCAATTTCAAAATCTTGGTCTTGCCACATGGAAGTTTATTTAAGATTTTTCATTTAAAGCAATGATCCCCAACATGGGGCGCATGCCCCACCGGTTGGGTCGGTAATATTTTTGGTGAGGCATGAGTAGGTTGTGCACCCTTCGGCTTATGGCACCTTGCATTTATTGGAAATATTCATAGAAATATGAGTTAATTTTTTCTTATTCAGTTTATTAAACAGGTTGTTAATTTTTTTTTAAAAACGGAAAATAACTGAGTTGAAAATAATTCACTAAGAATGTACTAAACGATCCTAAAGCAAGGAAAAAGAAAAGAAAGGAAAAAGGAAGAAAGGAAAGATAATAACAAAAAGGGGGAAAGAAAGGAAAAGACATGATATCAAAACAGGCCGCTGGGTGTGGACCAGATGTCGGTCAGAGCCTCTGACTGACCTTAATTTTTGTTGAAAGAATAGAATTGGAGATATCGGTCGCGAGCGCTGACCGACATTTTCGTAGAAGAATTCTTATCAAAATAACGAAAGGTAACTTTTAAATTAGAATAATAGAAATGAATTTTACTTTAGTCAGAGAGAAAAGTGTCTTTGGGTTGGGGAAGTGACTGGTGAAAACGATATACGGAATTGACCTGTTAAGAATTGGACACCCACGTTAAGAAAGTAGAGATATTTCGACCTAGATAATTAAGATTCTCGGCTATCAGGAAAAACAAAGAGGTAAAAAGAAGAGCAATTGTTTTTGGACCACGGAGGGCGCCAGGAAGGCGGAAAAGATCCTTTCTAAAAGTCAAGACTAATTAGCAGCGGGCTGTTTGACAAAGTCCAGGTGAGAGAGGGCAAGGATTGTCATTTTGCGTACGTGCAAAAAGGTGCGAAATCGGATTTTGTTTTTTTTAAACCAGCACGATGTAACCACACCCGCCAACAAAAGGGAGAGGGGATGTTCGGTCAATAACAATTGGTCGAATACAATCACGTGACCGCGGAAGAAGAAGGAAAGAAAACCTCGATCAATAACTGTTGGACGAGGCGGTCACGTGGGCTGCGGAAAAGAAGAGAAAAAAAGGTTCGATCAGGAACGATTGGTTGAGAGCGATCACCTGACATGAGAGAGACTAAGAGAAATAGATATGCGCCGCCCCCAAAGAGCACTGTGAGAAAGTAGGGGTGAAAACAATAACGATAATGGAAAGTCAAAATTAATACGGCTTTTGAAATTATCGAGAAACCCCTGACGCCGACCGACCCACCCCGGTTTGTTGCGGCGTCAATATAAGCAGGACCCCAGTCGGCAGAAATCAGTTGGAGCTGAAGTTGAGTTGAAGTTGGAGTTAGGTTGGGCGTGAGTTGCAGTTCACCTCGGACGACAGAAGAATCCTCGAAACAAGAAATCCTTCCAGCCCAAGTTGAAGACAAGAAATCTTCCACCGAATTGAAGCAAGAAATCTTCCACTGAATCGAAGCAAGAAATCTTCCACTGAATCGAAGACAAGAAATCTTCCACTGGGTTGAAACAAGGAAAACTACCAGCCCAAGCAGACGAAGAAGAAGAAATACAACTCAAGTCGGAGAGAAGAATCAACTGCGAATGATCGATAGAAATTAGCCCCAGTGTCGAACTGAACCACACTCCGACATACATACATGATTCTAGAAAGTAGGTAATTCGACATTTTTCTATTGTGTGATAGAAGCTTGGTGCCATAGTCCACAGAGCGGGTCGGGAAATGAAAACAATTTTGTTTTTATGTAACGGACTTTAAGATATAAAAGGTTGTTACCCTTTTATCAGCAATTTTGTTTGGTGTCGTGAGTTTTTATTTTATTTGTGTTTTGCCACCCCCGTCGGACTCAACTTGTATCGGCCCCGATCCCTGCTGGTCCCGTCTGTCTAAGATCTAAACACAGCGTGGGTAGACAGACCGGAGATCGGTATAGTTGCTTTAGTGACCAGGTATTGGAAGCGAGTCAGGAAAAGGCGGGCTGGTGATCATCTGACCAAAGGGTTGGAGCGGCACGCTTGGACCCAGGAGGAGCGACCAGGAGGAGCGACGTCACCGTTGGCGCCGTAACCAAAGGATCCGACACTGGGCCAGGTGTGTAACCGTCACAAGTGGTGCCGTGACCAACGGATCAACCCTGAGACAACCACGTCACATATGGTGCCGTGGTGACCGAGGGATTTCAACCCTGAGAAGACCACGATCGACCGCCGTTGCTGAAAGTTCAAGCAGAAATCAGAACGACCCGGGACCAAAGGAAAAGAAGGAACAGAGTCGTCTGTAAGGTAGGACACCTTGTTTATTTCCCTACCTCGATTGTTGCTCTCTGTAGACATGTCAGATTATGAGTCGGATAGAGCAGTGGGGGGTGAAGAAGAAGTAGGGCGGGGGTTGTCAGTAGATTTAAGGGGGCTGTTGGGTGGACCGAGGGTCCCAGTGTTTGATGGTAGTGGGAAGGAGTTTAGGAACTGGCTGACAATCCTCGAAAAGAGCCGAACCATCTACGAGCTCTCGGACCAGGAAACCCTGTACCTGGCATACGATGCCACAAAGGGAAAAGCGTCGGAGTTCGTAAGGGGACTCTTGGAAAATCATCCTCGCTTGGCCTGGGAAGAAGTAAAAAACTGCTGACCAAAGAGTTCGCCGACGAGGGTACGGCCATAGAGGCCATGAGGGCCCTTTAAAACTAACACAGCTTCGGGAGGAGACCCCGGGAGAATTGGGGGCCCGAGCAGGAAGGCTATCGTCATTAGCATTCCCCGAGGTGGTCAGGGACAACGCAGTCATGCAGGCCCAACTGGCGGACCTGTATGTGGAAGCTCTGAGTGATGAGCGTGTTCGGCACGACGTCCTGAAAGAGGGACCGCTCAGACTGTCGGCAGCGATAGAGCTGGCCAGAGAGAGCCAGGGGTATGGGATAAGGTGAAGAGGTGTGGGAAGAAGCAGACACCAAGTCAGGAGGCTGGAAGAAGGGGGTAGGCGGAAGAACCCCGTATGGAATCAGAGGGTTAAGGAAGAGGTGGATCGGGCAGAAATATGGGAGGAGGACCCCAATAGAAGGGCATGGTCGACCAGGCATGGCTTTTATAAGCCCACGCCGGGTCGATATGGGGCTGGTCTGCTGGACCTGTGGGTACGAGGACCACAGGGCGGCGGAATGTCCGACGAAGTGGGGATTGCCCCAGACTTCAATCAGGACAGATGCACCAGGTGTGGTAAGAAAGGACACCTGGCCAAGTGGTGCGGGCTGAAGAAGGGTGCCCCACCGGTGTTGACAAGGAAGGCTGAGCCCAAGAGACCGGACCAGGGAAAAGCCAGGGGCCACCCCAGAATTAAGAGGGAGGGTGGCCCCGTTAAAAAGGAGAGAAATAAAAATTGGACCAGTGGGTGGGCGAACCGCTTGAATAGGGGACAGGTTACCCCGAGGATAGACACAAAGGCCAACCCAGTTAAAAAAGAGAAAGAGCAAGATGTTGGACATGTGGTCGGATGGGCCACTTTGCGGCAAGCTGTCCGACAAGAAGGTGCTGGCTTTGCAGGAGGCCAGGACACCTGAGAAGAAACTGTATTCTTAGAAACGGCCACGAGAGACCGAGAGAGGTCCGGCCGGGGTCGCCCAGGTGCAGGGGGCGCAGAACTCCACCTCATAAAAGAAATGAAGATGAATTATTATTACCGGCGCCTATGGCTGGGTTAACCCAAAGGTGGGGACCCAGGAAGAAGAAAGCTCAGGTGTTCTCTTCGCTAACG